CCTGCCACCATGCCCATCTAATTGGAAATTCCTAGTTTCAAGTATCCAGTGCTTATTCAGCTGGAATCTTTTCCACTGAGGTTAGGGATGATTGTGCTTTTCAGAACACTTAAAGAATTTTCCATCAAGAAGGTAGCTTGAGTCTGAAATGCAAAGCCCATGGGGGAATTTTGAAGTCATTTTTTCCTTGAGTACCAGCAGGGCCAGGGAAGACTGGGCCTGCTGAATTTATTCTTGTTCTTTAAGAATTACAGGTTGAGGTAGTTGATGGTGGTAAACATTCTCTCAGGAGACAATAACTCCAGCGTTGCTCTTCGAAGATTTTAGCAAAAACAGAGTTAACAGCATTCTCTATCAATATATAAATAAAAAACCTATTGTTTTGCTTACAGTTTTAAATTCTGAATAATTCTCTCTTACATGTGTATTGCTAATTATTAAGGTATTATTTTTCCCCATGTAAAGTTTTGTCTTTTAACGTGTTTGCATATTATTTTCTACAAGTAAAGATACTATTCAGGCTGAGCACGGTGGCTCACGCCTATAATCCCAGCACTTTGGGAGGCCGAGATGGGTGGATCTCGACCTCGTGATCCACCCATCTCGGCCTCCCAAAGTGCTGGGATTACAGGCGTGAGCCACCATGCCCAGCCAATATCTTACTTTTTTTTTTTTTTTTTTTGCCATGATGAGAGTCCTGGGTATGAGAAAAACCTCCAACCAGGCTAGAGGCAACTACTCAGTAACAACTGTGTTTCCTTTACCTCTGAATCCCTTGCAGATCCTTGATAAATGCCTCACGAAGACCAATCTCTTGAACCCTGTATCTACCCAGAATTAACTCCAGATTAGTCTCTGCATGTAACCAGTTTTTATCCACAGAAACATTTTCATTTTAGGAAATCCCTAGTTTTTTTTTGTTTTTTTCTTTTTTCTTTTTTTTGAGATGGAGTCTCGCTCTGTCGCCCAGGCTGGAGTGCAGTGGCAGTGGCACAATCTCAGCTCACTGCAACCTCCGCTTCCCTGGTTCAAGTGATTCTCCTGCCTCAGACTCCTGAGCAGCTGGGATTACAGGCACCTGCCACCATGCCCATCTAATTGGAAATTCCTAGTTTCAAGTATCCAGTGCTTATTCAGCTGGAATCTTTTCCACTGAGGTTAGGGATGATTGT